TTTTGGAGCAACTACTGAAAAACTAAGTAAGGAATTTGTTAAACTAATGGGGAGTGAATTTGAAATGAGTATGATGGGTGAGCTTAATTTTTTTTTAGGCTTGCAAATTAAACAAAACTCAAATGGAACTATGATCCATCAGCAGAAATATGTAAAAGAGTTGCTTAAGAAGTTTAAAATGGAAGAATCAAAGGAAATAGATACTCCAATTGCAACAGCCACAAAATTGGACATAGATGAACCTGGTTCATCTGTTGATCAGAAGTTTTATAGGGGTATGATTGGTTCACTTTTGTATCTTACTGCTAGCAGACCTGACATTGTCTTCAATGTAGGGCTTTGTGCTCAATTTCAAGCAAATCCAAAAGAATCCCATTTGATCGATGTCAAGAGAATATAGAGATACTTGAAAGGCACCACTGACCTTTGCCTTTGGTATCCAAAAGGTAGTAATTTTAACCTAGTGGGATATGGTGACGCTGACTATGCAGGTTTTCTTGTAGATAGGAAGAGCACCTCAGGTATGGCTCATTTTCTTGGTTCATGTCTTGTTTCATGGGCTATTAAAAGCAAAATTCAGTGGCCTTATCTACTGCTGAAGCTGAGTATGTTGTTGCTGCTTCATGCTGTGCTCAATTGTTGTGGATCAAGTAGCAATTAATGGATTTTGGAATTGATGTTGGTTGCATCCCTATTTTTTGTGATAACACTAGTGCTATTAGTATGACAAAGAACCCGGTTCATCATAAGAGAACTAAGCACATAGATGTTAGGTAGCATTTTTTAAGGGACAACTATGAGAAAGGCTTGATTATTGTAGAGTTCTGTGCTACTGATAAGCAGATTGCTGATATCTTTACAAAAGCACTGAGTAGAGAGAACTTTGAAAGGAACATGTTAGAATTAGGGATGATTAAGATCACCTAATAGAACCGGTTTAGAATGCACAATGAAAAAAAATATGAAAAAAAATTTTGGTTAGAAAATCTGGAACTTGTGTAAATAACTAGATTAATCTTTGTTCAGTCTCATGCTGTAAATAGTATACTCCTGTGCCATGTGTTATTATGACTCACTGATCTCTAACAAAAGTTTCCCTATTTTGGCAAATTAAGACATGATCAAGAGGATTCTCAATGAAGAACCTGGTTCATCAGTACTGGTTCATCTGAATAACGAGGTATATTTTCTACCCTCTACACAATTTGAAATACTAATATTTAATTCATGAGTAGAGTCCTACCTACGTCCAAAAACTTCAAAAGCCTATCCGTTTAAGTTTGAACCAGTTCCATGTTCAACAAGAATCCTCACTGTGTCAAAATGCCTAGATCCTAGGGAAGCCTAACCGCCTACTCAAACTGAAATTTCAGGGTGATTAGACTTCTATTTGACTACTAAAAGCTGTCGTTTATTTATTACCCTCCTCCTTTAAATTCATCATCATCACCACTTCCACTCTCCCATAATTTCTATAAACCGTCAAAAAAATTATGTCTTCTCTTCTCTTCCAAAATTCAAACCACCCATTTTTTCAGAATCTAGAGAGAATGACTAACCCCCAAGATAACCCCAGCACACCTCCTCCGCCTACCCCCTCCGATTCCTCCACTACTCCTCAACCCAGCACTACCCTTCAACCTAGGAGAAGGCGAGTAAAGATGCTTGCTCGAAAAATTGTGGCTACATCTGCGCTTTCAAGGAAATTAAAGCACAGTTAATAGCTAGCCAAGTTCAAGATTCCCAAAATTCTGATGATTCTTTCAAGTCTGCGAGTGAGGGGGAAGGAACCGGGTCTTCCGATTTAGAATAGGTAACGTCTGTGCAAAATCCCTCTACTGAGGTAATCTCTGATGTGGCTGAAAATCTGGAAAATCACTTTATTTTGGTTGGGTCTATTGTGGATGTGGAAACTACTGAGTCGCAAAGGGGAGGAGGTAAAAATAAAAGAGCAAAAAGAAACTGAGAGTGAGGGTGTTCGTAGTAATGAGAGGGGAAAAGTGAAAGAAGTGGCTGATTCTTCACCCACCTCTGAAACTATTAAAATATCTGTGGAGCTGAGCCAGAACAGGTGGAAGAAAGTAGCAAGAAAACGGGGGGAAGTGGATCGGGAGAAGCTGCTGAGGGCATCGTTAATCTTGGAAAGCACACATATGAACCTGGTTCATCTGTGGAAGAAACTCTAGCAGATCTCTTGAAAAAGGTAGGTGATAGCTATAACCCCAAGAAAAGGAGAACTCCAAATCCAAAGACTCCTGGCACAGCAAGAGCCAACAAGAAAAGGAAGGCTGCTTCTTCTGAAACTACTGAAACTCCTTTACCAAAAGAAAGGGCCACGAGGAGCAAGTTCAAGCAAAGTGAGGAGGAGTTGCAGAAAGATATGGAAGAAAGTAAGAAGAAAAGGATGGACAAAGGGAAAGCAAAAGTGGCAGAGCTTATTGAGGCTGTTGATGTGGATGAGATGGACCTGGTCCATCAAGGTGAACATGTGACTGTTGAGGTGGAGGTTCAGACCCCTAAGCCCAAGAACGCCAAGACTTCCTCAAAGAAGTCTTCCTCTGTATCTAAGTCTGATGAACCCTCTACCTTGGTTAAACGGACTAGGTCTGCTGTGAAAGCCAAACAAGTTAAAATTACTGAAGAAGAAGACTGGAGTGGTGAAGATGAGGATGAATCAGATAATGAACAGGACAAGCTGGCCAAGTTTGGCAAACGAACTATCTTGAAGGGCAGACTCTTGAAGGACTTGGAGGAAGAACGGATGGTTCTACTGCTTGAAAGGCTAGAGGTACAGGGGTGGAAGGACATGGTCCTTCAGTTAGATGGCAGACTGGCCCGGAATGAGATTATTGAATTCATGGCAAATGCTGAGGTGAAGGATGGGAGAGTCACCAGCCTGGTGAAAGGGGTTCAATTGTCTTTTGATGCAAAAGAGCTGGGTGAAATCCTTGTTATACCTTCTGAAGGTTATGTTGATTACACAAGGCAAAAATGGCCAAGTATGGACTCCCTTCCTACTACCCTAGCCATCACTAGGAAATTCTGTGATAGTAAGGAGGTCAATGCCCCAAAGGTTGTCTATAAGAGTGAAATGAAGCCTTCCCACAAGGTACTGTTTGAATTCGTCATCAAGTGTGTGCTGCCTAGGCAGGAAAGAAGGCGCATTGCCATGGACTTGGTTTTGATGGAATGTCTGGATAGTGGGCAGCAGATCAACTAGCCTGGATTTATAATCAAGCTTCTAGATCGGGTTATCAATGGCTCCAAGGCCCATGCCACTCCTTATGGTTTCATTCTCACTACTGTTCTTGCTCATTGTAAGGTGCCTCTGAAGAAGTGGGAGATGGCCACAAGCAAAGACCACTTTGGAATCAATACTCTGATTGCTTGTGACTATGAGATCACTGCCACTCACAATGAACCTGGTTCATCCAAAAAGACACCTGTAAATAGCAAGGTCAGAGCTCTATTGTAGGAGAGTGGGGTAAAGGATGCTGAGATAGCAGGCTGAAGACTCGTTTGGAAGAGGTAGAATCTGAGAGAGATGCTCTCAGAACTGAGCTCACAAAGGAAAAGGAGAAGAATGATGGAATTCTTCAAGACTTGCTGCACCTTCTCCAAGCCAAAACCCAAAACCCCAGTTCTTCCAAGCCTTAATTTCCTAAGCCATGCTTAGACCTTTCAGTGAACCAAATTAGGGATTTTGGTTTTGCTCATCTTTTAACTGTTTTTGTTTCTTTTTGTGGATTGTGGCAGAATTATATTCTCTATCAATGAAGTTAGCTGCTTTTGCTCTTATTGACTGTTAATATTTCCTTGATGGTTTGAATGTGTAGTTGATTACTAATGATTAATCCATGAATGCATTTGCAGTTGCCCCAGTGGCCATGAGTAATTTTTAAAATCTGGGAATCACACATTGTTTATGCAACTTTTCGATGATGCCAAAAGGGGGAAAAGAAAATGTGCTTTATATTCTGAATAGTGATGTTTATAACCTAATGAACCTGGTCCTTGATGATAAGTGAAAAATGTTTCTAACATTGCATTGATGTTGAGCTGAGTTCTAGCAGGGCCTAAGTATATAAAAAGCACAGAGTTTGTCATCATCAAAAAGGGGGAATTTGTTGGCCCAAGTAAAGGTTAGTTTTGAAGACTGACAAAGGAACTCAGACATGAACCAGGTCCATCTCAATGGAGCACAGATGTGGATAGACTTGAGCATGTAGGATGCACGTGAAGGAGATAAACCTAACTTGACAGATTTGATATCTCCTGATCCTGATCGAAAAGGTTGCATAATTGATAAGGAGAAGGACTCCTTACTCAAAGAGAACACGGTTTAAGAAAGGGAAGGAGTTAGAGGTTGAGATCAACTAGAACTCTTCCACCAAGGAAGAGTAGCATCAGAATTCTAGTCAATCTCTATTTACTAACTCCATAAATATCAGTGTTGTTCTATTTTACATGTAACGCACATAAGCAGAAGTTAAACGTGAATTGAGAGCAAAATTACAAGGCAATTTTGCAAGCAGTTCGTGTGTGATTCAAGTGTGCAAACCTGAAGCTACTTGAACCAGATAGAAGAACCAGTTCCAAGTGTCTGTCTTTTATTCTAGTTCAATTGTAGTAGGTGGTTTCATATTGTACCTTTCAGCTTTATCTAGAGGCAATTGTAATAGGTACTCAGAGTATTTAAGTTAGAGTTAACTTGAAGTTGTCGCAACAGTTAGAGGCTGGTTACTACAACGGGATTAGAGTTAGTCCTAAGTTTACAAAAGAGTTTTTGTAAATGCAGTTTTTGGCTCAATGATTCTAGTGGAGAGTTTGGGAAAATCCTACTGGAAAGTAGGTCGTGGTTTTTTCACCTTTTGAACCAGGTGTTTTCCACGTCCCAATTTGTCAACCACCTTGTATTCTTCTATTTCCTAGTTACTCCTAGGGATTTCTTCATATATACTTCAAATTTGAAAAACTCAAAACTGAATTTTGGAAGACTGTAATGATAATAGCCAGCTTTTTCCATAAACCTAAATTTCACTCCCTATATTACATTGATGACTGAACTTAAAAAAAGCATGACAAATTGAAGAAGACGATCCAAAAAAAGAAAACTTCTTCTTTTCAATGAGCTGTTTTTTTCTTTTTCCCAACGACTTATTTTGGAATCTTTTAATTCCAATACATGGTAATTAACAAAAGGAAAAATCCAATACTCCTTAATCTTAGGTTCTATCCCTTGGAGCTTGAGTTTCTGTCTCGTTGAGTCGCAAGGATAGCATCAATGGCATCTTTTACTTGAGAAATATCTGGAGCTTTTCCACCTTGTGTCGGCCAAAATTCATCTGTTGCCAACACCTATAATAATAATAATGATAAGGGCTTAATTAACTTCTATCATTGACGGTATAACGAATTTTATACTATGTCACATAAGAAATTTTTACATGCAACAATTAATAAAAAAAAGATGAAATTAGTTACCTAGAACAAGTTACCTACTAGTACAAGATATGTTAAAATATGTTTAAAACAAAATTTCTTCTTATATTGCCTGTGTATACAAGTTAAATCATATAAAAGGAAAGTGACTCTTTAGAGGACAATAAAAGCACAAAAATAATTAGGTTTATAAGTATTCACCTTCACTTGCACCTGAAGAAATTTGACGTAACTAATTGCTTTCTCTAACATGGTGACCAAATCAACCTGCATTAATATAAGGAATTTGCCATATGATTAAGTAACCTCCAGAATTATTAATGGAGAAACATTAATTAAAGGATTTAATTAAGCCTACCTTGGAACCATTGGGAACAAGTTCTTGCAATATCTTAAGGCGTTCACTGATCCGTTCTCTACGATTCTACAAACAGACATTCCTTTTGTTCTTAAACACGCAATTCCAAAATAATTAAGCTTTTAAATTACTTCAATATTAATTAGGAGCTAGCAAACCTTGGCTGCAATGCTCTGTGGATCCTTTGTAGCAACAGAAGTATTTGATTTCGCCTTCTTTGAACCCGCAGTGCATTGCTTCTTATTAGTTTGCATGCTCTCTTCCTGCATTAAATCCATCTCTTTGTATGTAAGACTACTATAATTATCACTATACATAGAATCATAACCAATGTGAAATTGGTGATAATAAAATACGATGCATTGAATCATCTTTTTGGTGAACAAAAAAAAGATATGTAAGTGCCTACTATTACTAATATAATTAGTTAGGCAATAGATGATGGATATCTCTAGTGAAAGAAAAAAAAAAGGGTTGCCCGGTGCACTAAGCTCCCGCTATGCACGAGGTCCGGGAAAGGGCCGGACCATAAGGATCTGTCCGGGGATGGATATTTCTAGTGACATATTCATAATTTAGATGTTGTGAGTTAGTGACATATTCATAATTTAGATGTTGGGAGTTCTGAGTTGAGAACGTAGATTCTAAGTCTATCTATGTTAAATTATTTGTGCACTAACGAAGTATAATATTTCTACGTTATTTTTTTTAGAACAATTGGTAAGTACTTTTTATAACAAACATAATTTGGTAACTTGAAATAAAATAGAATAAATAACTTGCTATAACAGGTGAAATCGCATAGAATAAATAAGGTTGGATATGAAATTACCATGCAAGGGCGCTTATTGAAACGTGATTCCTCTCTCTCTAAGTCCTCAACAGTTGCATTAGCTTCAGAATTTAGCCATCCAAATGGTATCGCATTACTATTCCCATAGCTATTGGCTCGTTGAATATTCTTGGAATTCTCATTAATCAATACTCGAGGACTAGTGTTGCTGCTACCCTTAGAAGTAAGGGAATTCTGATAATTATTAGTATTATTGTACCGCAAATTATTATCTTCCCAAACTGAGCACTCCACTTTATTACTATTCATTCTTGGATTTGGACAAAATCTTTCACTTTGCTCAAAGCTAAGCAAAGAACCATTTGCTGAATGCATAAAATTACCACCATACCCTCCTTTGAAGCTAATAACAGAATGGCCATTGGAATTGGAACTGCTGGGACTGGATAGTGAAGAAGAACTGCTTATAGCAAAATTTTTGGCTATATTTGGACTTGTTTTCTCTGGATTTTCACTCTCTTCAAAAACTGATTTTGGAGTTTCTTCATTTATCCCATGATATAGCTCTGGAGAGGAATGATCATTCATTCCAAATTCACCTTCATAATATTCATAATTATCAACTAAGCCCATTTTTGTGTCATTCATAATATGCTCTTTGGCTAACGCCATAGACATATCTGAAGAAAATAGGATAGACCGAAGAAAAGGAGAAAAATATGAAGAGCTAAGCTAAAATTATAAGTTGCTACCTAGCTCTAAATTTTGTTTGTTTTTTGTCTTTATTGAAAACAAGTGTGAGACTAAGATAGTGTATATATAGATGGTACATAAAAAATTGTTTAAAATAGTAGTATGAGATTGATAGTAATTAATTAGCTGGCAGAAGGAGACTAGAATTGAATGAGAGAAGTGATTAATGTTAAAGATAAAAATTGGAGAAGTCAGCAAGACCTTCGGCGTTTCTTTCGCAAAACCCACGTCTCAGATTCCCATACAACACATAGTGTACGAACATTGTTAAAAGTCTAAATTTCTGGAAAATAGACTTGTTTTCTTGAGTGTCTCTTTCGTACCAACTTTCCTTCAACTTGAGAAGCCAAGCTAGAGCACGTGGATCTTCATATAAAAATTATATATTACATTCTATGGAGGTGTGTAAGCTAACCCTCGGCCAGCTAATTAAGCTAGTGATGGATTTTACATATACTTTCTCCAGCCTAGATTGGCTTGGAAATTCTTCTAGGACTTCTCTGTGTTTAATTGAGATATACTTAACATGCAGCCAGATTCACTTGGAATTTCTTGAGTACTCAATCACAAAAAACTTTTTTAGGGTAGAATGTATGCATACCTAATTACGTCCTTGCATATACCTCGTGTGAGGTAGAAAGACTATTTCCGATGAACCCTCAAATTAAGGGGGGGAAAACTACTCTAGTAGTAAGGTAAATATTGGTTATACTTCTCTCACGTCTGAGTTCTAAACAATTTGGAACCTTATTACCTTATCGTGAATGCATGAATTTACATTATTACAAATCATTCACGAAGGTACTTAGTTTGAATATATATGACAGTTTAAAAAAAAAAAAAAAAAAATCGGCATATATATAAACATTTGATATGATGCAAACTAAGTTTAGAATGTTGAAATGAAAAGATCATTGTCTAAAGTACATTATAAACGAAAGTTTTCGATTTCAAATAATAGATGTACATTTGTTTTTCGTATTTATTTTTGAGTGCATGCTAATATTGCTTACATTATTTGGTTTATGTATAGAAAACAACGTTTTAGACAATTATAGGACTAGCTATACAACGTATTCCAACGTCGTTGATGATCCCTTTTGTTGGGATGCTAGTATTATAGGTTTTACAATTGGTCTTAAATTATATTTTAAATTTCATGCTTGCACTCGGATACTATCTGTACATGTACAATTAATTTGGATCAGTCAGCTTGTATTATTGTTAATAGCCTGCAGCACCAAGTTGACGATCAATTATTCAAGTCGTCAAGTGTGGTTGCATGGAATTTCTTTCCAATAATTGCTAAAACAATTGGCCTGAGGTAGTTGCAGGAAAGGGACGTTTTGTCTTAATTGATCTTGGACACAACTTCCATTTTTGTTGACTAACAGTGCCACTCTTGGTTCTACTTCTTAAAATAACCATGGAACTATTACTATATATACTCCATATATGTTTTAAAAAGAATAAACCTTTTACTATTTGAGGAGTTAAATAAGCTTTTCGATGATCATATTTTTTACAAATAGTTTTTAACTATTTTAAATTATTAATTATTGTGACTTATATTACTTTTTATACGTAAATTTTATCTCGGAAAACCTAAAGATTCTAAATTTGAAAACCTAAAGAATCTAAATTTGAATTCACACAGAAAATCAGTCAATTTGACCCTCATACTCTGAAAACCTGACACATTAATTATGTGAGGAACTTTTATGTCTTACTTGCACTTTTGTCATATATATTGACATTGTAAAAATATTTACATTATTAGAGCTCTTTTAACATGAATTGGCAATACACATGCGGAACTCCTGGCTCTAGAAGCAGGTCTACAAATGGCAGTGCAATTCAACCCTCATCCTTTGGAAATTGAAACCGATTCCACGGAGGTAATATCCCTATTTGAAAAAGATCACCAAATTTATGATCACATTATCTCCTCATGCAGGTGATTAATGGTACAACTGGGAGCACCAATGCTCAGACATAACTTCCGAGAAGCTAACTCTGTAGCTCATCTTTTGGCAAGAAGCAGTAAGAAGTTAAAGTTTATGAATAAAACAATCATTCATCATGCACCAACACAGGCAGTGGAGGCAGCTTGAAGAATGAC